CGACTCCAATTGATGTAGTTGTCTACACCAAGCTTGTCTATGTGGACTTTCATCCCGTCAGCCATTTTAGACTTTGCTTTCCCTTTCACTCTTTCTGAGGACCAAAGGTGGAAAATTTCCTTTTAGGCGTTCCCTGCCACTTGATCTTCCTTACAGGACTTTCAAGTGTCACTTGGCTCAAAGCACCCGTGATATAGCAGACCGCCCCCACCGATGCCTTCATTGACAAGAGAGAACCATAGGCTGATTTGCACCGAGTAATGTGCCACTTTGTTGCACGCTTGCGCACGATGTCTGCGGCCACATGGTCTTTGAAGGACGAATTCAAATAAGCAGGCTAGATACACTGATTTGTGTGCCTGCCGAAAATTGATCTTTTGTCGAATATAGACATACAAGACCCTGAAAGTTGGCACGATGATTTGCATGCGGATAAAACGCCGCAGATTGTCCGAGTCTATTGCGTTTCAAAGATACAAATTCGGCAGGTTAGTCTACATGTAGATTACGTGCGGGTTGGAAGGACAACATACCGTTATCTAACCTATAGAATCGATCACATTGCTATTCTGCTCGCGCTAGCGGCCAGTCTTCTTCAACTGCCCTAGCTCCGATCCTTGCAGCAAGAAGAATCGTATGAGAAAAGGCCCTTTTTGCGTTGTGGTAACGAAAATCTGCAGCATGACTCAACTGTAAAGAATTAAAAAGCCCTCCATGAAACTTCTGCCCAGAACATGTATTGGGCGAAAAATCTCGACGGGTTTATGAATACAACCCAGGATCGACATGAGGTTTCAGCAGCATTTTAAGCAAGCCCGCACAGCAAACTTGAAAAGGCTTTTCAAAACGGTTTCCGCGGCCGCGCGCCGGGTTAAAGCTCATCATATCGCGGGTCATTACACTGTCAAGATCTTCTCATCGCACGGCTTAAATGTTCAGCTGCAGCAAAACTCCCGCCATTTTGCGGACTTCGAAGCACCCGGGATTTCCAACTGAAAAGCCTAACCCGGTTAACGACGCGCTACGCGCCCATGCACACCCTAACAATGGACCAACCCTAAGAGCCTACACGCCTCCCGGGCGCCTATTTTCATACCTGGCAGATTTTGATGCTAAGCGGTCGAATAGATGTCACTTATTAGGCCAATGTTACTTGAAGCTTCTGCCCGGAGATTCGCAAAACCAAAAGCCCTAACCCAACAAAGATCGGGCTCCGCATTCGTACCCACCCAAAGCCACAAACCAACCCAACCCGCTCCAGTCGGTGACATTGGCCATATTAAAGTGACAATGTTTGGATTGCTATCAGATTTTGTGGTGTTCATGAAAAGCGAAACTCAAGGGATTTCCAGCCTCATGCATGCAAATGTGTAGAGAAGCTAGGAGACTCGTGTGAAGCATGGGTTTCAGGGCGCCAGGTCTGCCATCGCAGTGTGGCTTGACACACGAGGCACCTGGTAGGTCTGCAGCTTTATCAAGTAGAGATTACCGTATCTCGGTTGCGATTGGTAGGAAGAAGGCTGTCAGTTTGCATTTGTTCTGACCAGGATTCTCGGGATCGTCCATAGTTGGATGAGCAATGGTGGCAAAGAGTGACCGCCAGGCGGAATCTTGAGAGGAGCGCACAATGGAGCGCCCAGAGATGACGGGACAGGTTTCAAGGGAACAGGATGGGACTACAGTTGCTGAAGAGTGGAGGAAGAAGGGGGACGCTTTCGCCGCTGCAGGCCAATTTAATGAAGCAGATTGCTCATACGGCCTGAGTCTGTCAAGCGCAAGGTCCGCCACGGTGACGGCGCCACCGTGCTGAGTAGTAGAGCTCAGTGTCGCGTCAGGCTGGGCCGCTATGAGGACGCCGAGGCGGACGCTCGCGAGGCCATCGACCTGGATGGAGCGTGCGTGGAGGCGTTTCACACCCGTGCACTAGCACGGAAGGCCCTGGGCAAAAGGCTCGAGGCGTTGGCGGACTTCCAGGTCAGTTTCTGGCAGCAAGCGGAAGTGCAATATTCCCTGACAGTGTTGGCCTCGGGCGCGGTTCTGTAGATCAACCATGGAGATAGGAGCCTTTTATAAGAAAGCTCCTGCATCGAGTTCACGAGGTGATCTTGTCTTCAAGTTCATAGCTCATTGATTGTATTTGCCGAAAGTCCTCGTCGTTGCAATCTCAACAAATTCTCTGTAGTGCTGCCCTAAGTCCACCTGTCCCTTAAGAAGACACTTCCGAGTGTCACAACGACGTAAAGCAGACCTGCCTGCTCAAAGACGCAGCAACTACTCCAGTGCATCGCCGATGCAGTGGGGCCTCAAGTACCTAGCCCCCGACTCTGTGATGAACTGTTTCCAAAGAGCATGCTTTTTGGACCTGATTCCCCTGCGGAGTACTGAGAGCTCGCCTTTCTCTACGACCTGTTGTTTGTCTTGAGCTATTGGCTGTCAGACCTTGAGGTGCGCAAGGACGTCAGCGCATTGCAGGCGCGGCTGCTTTCGGCAGCAGGCGTGGATGCCGTGCTGGAGAGGTGATATACACGTCGTTTGTATATGCCGACAAAGGGAGGACCACGTGATCCAGGCTAAACATTCTCGCAAAGGGCGGCGGCAGCACTGCAATTGAAAGAGTAGAGATACTGCTGGGACCTTGAGAAACAAATCCCTCTGCTTCTTCACGTGTTGCAGACTGCACTAGCTGTTGAGAAATGCGACAGTCGAAAGCGACGACTTGAAAAGAATGCGCTTTAGGTTTAGCTCCAGCGAATTCCAGGTTCCCAGGCTTGCGTTGTTCTGTGCGGACAGCTCGTCCGACTTGCGTTTGTGCAAGCGTTGCAGGCCCAGGAGACGCTTCTCCGCGCTAGGGCGGCGATTTCGTGAGTTCAGGCGCGCCATGAGGGCCAGCGGGGCAGGGACGGAAGGATTGCCCCAAACCGAGGATGCTGTCTCTGCGCTTGCGGAGCGCCTTGAGGCATGGCGCATCTCGCTGAGCGCAGCGAGCAAGGCGCTGGACCAAGAGTGGGGCGTGGCACCGTCGAACTGTGGGCTAGTCAGTGCGCCAACGGCGGGCAAGGAGCGCAACGTGGACGAGGAACGACATGCGGCGGAAGGCGGAGAACGGAGGCACGTTGTCGATCTCATTTCTCTCTCATTGGAAAACCTCGAGCTCGTGGCTTTGCAAGAGCCCATCCAATCATTGTGCAGTTGTTTGTGCCTGATCCAAGAGATTCGAGACCGACGCCTTCCGTTCTGCTTTCTCTTCGTGCTTCTTCTCAGCTTTGTCTCAGATCCTACGATTTGGAGGGACGGCATCTGTCTTGAATTCGAGTTCTGCACTCCAGTCGAGGTGATGCTCTCGAGCCGAGAAGAAGTCCGGCCCTGCGGACCAATAAGGCCCTTTCTTGAGAGGTGGTCGAGTGGTTGAAAACCGAGAGGGCACGGAGGGGCTCAAGAGAGGGCTGCAGACAATAGGCCATTAGCGCACAGCCTGCGCTGACATTTCGGCAGCGAGAGGCGGGGAACGTTCTGTTGCACGTGCTGTGGTTCTCTCTTACAATTCTTGGTCTCAATCACTTGAAAAGACGGCGCTGCAAAACGCTCTGTCTAACATACCTTGGCCATCTTGCCAGCTACTTTGGCGTTGCAACCAAGCTCTGCGGTTTGCTACAAGTTGTACGGTCAGGTCCTGAGCAATTCGTGGGATATCATGGCGTCGCATCTGAGCTTTTGCTATTTGCAGGGGCGGACTACGCGACGAAATCTCAGCTTGCACTCATCCCGAGAGCGCGGGCCCTTCCTTTCTAGCTGCCGCAGGGGACTTCGACGGGCCGGCGACCGCAGCGTCAGCTCTGGGGAAGCTGGCTAGCCCTCGTGCCTTAGAGGTGAGACCGAACAGCTCGAGGCTGGCTCCCGACACTGCCAGAAATGGGAGCTGAGTCTGGACGCCGTGCTGTGGTCCGACCCTTCTCTTTTCTTGCGAGGAAATGCCTAGGGGCGATGAAGTGGCAGAAAAAACGGAGCCGCATTCTCAAGTGCAACTGGCGTGCTGAACACGGAAACCTGGCAGCGATCGTAATGATTGCGCGCCCATCGCCCAGCGCATGACTTTCATCGTCCACTCACGAGCCGTTTGTGTCCTTTACAGACTCCTCAGCCACAACTACGTGGAACGCCCGTGGAGAGATATGTACCCTCCGCCGCCCGTAGCGCAACCGCCTCGGTCCCACACCCCGCCGCTCAAAGTCCCCGGTCAAATACCAGCGACCGCGGCCAATCTGACGGAGACTCGCGACACTCCAACTCGGACGCAGTAGAGGGAGCTAGGACAAGTGACATCGTTCCGCTCAAGCTAGGACGGGTCTGCACGAAGATGGCGTTACAAGTGCAGACGACATGGACGTGGATGCGCGAGCAGTCCCCGACGACCCAGTGCAGGCGGCCTGTTGAGATTCACCTTGTAGGGGACTAGAATTGTGTGGTTTCACTCGTCATCGGGTCTTATCGTAGTTGCCCGGCACTCATGCTCATCACACGTTGATGGCAGCCATGCATCCTAAGAGGAACACGAAGCGCCTCACAAGCGGCTTTC